TCTCTCTCTCTCTCTCTCTCTCTCTTTCTCGCTCCCTCTCTCTCTCACTCTTTTCTCTGTCTCTCTCGCTCTACTAGACTGTCTATAGTTTGTGCCTACAGCCAAATAAAATCTACTGTACTAATAAACGTATATAACGTCATAAAATATACGAAATCTAGTAGATAGTAAATATACAAAAGTAGGATTTGAAGGAAATCATATTTGTATCCATATACTGCATATAAGCAGAAAGATAAAATCTTGCAACTAATATTTATTTATATTGCTGAAACGATAGATGTTCAGATAAATGTATAAATCACAAATAGGTTGACAACCCGAAAAATTGATAAATAGCTTATTGAATAAAATGAATTGAGATTGAATGAAATGAATTTAGATTGAATGATGTTAGTAAATACACATATATTGCAATCGAACATGAAATCTAGAGCTACGAACATGCATATAACCTACGGTCACGGACGCTGTGTGTTACAGGTATGTGTCTGACCACGCCTACGATGGCTACAAGCCTTTCTGTCAGAACAAGCTGCTACAGAGTCAGTATGTAGAGCCGCAGCTGGCACGCACCTACCCGCCGAGCCTGCTCGAATGGAAGACGAACAGGAATCGCGCGCGCATGGCCGTTGAGGCCGTTTTCTCGGACGGTGAGTCAACTGCGATGTCCCCTCCAACATGGCCGCTTACCGCGATGTCCGCTCCAACATGGTCGCTTACCGCGATGTCCGCTCCAACATGGTTCGGACATCGCGGTAAGCGGGACATCGCGGTAAGCGGCCATGTTGGAGATGTTGGAGCGGACATCGCGGTAAGCGGCCATGTTGGAGCGGACATCGTGGTAAGCGGCCATGTTGGAGCGGACATCGCGCTAAGCGGCCATGTTGGAGCGGACATTGCGGTAAGCGGCCATGTTGGAGCGGACATCGCGGTAAGCGGCCATGTTGGAGCGGACATCGCGGTAAGCGGCGATGTTGGATCTCGTATCAAATCCATATAAAATCGAATAAAACAGACACAAAGAATAATATAAATAGGAGGAGCAACACAGGATCAATAGAATTACACGGAGAAAAGACAGGATGAGAAAGATTAATAGCAGAAACATGTAATGTATAAGAAAAATAGGGCGAACAGAGACATGTATACGAGTGATGTAGATATTTAAATACCTGATCCTCATGAGATGGGTGGCATACTCTTCGCCTGTCGTCCAAGATTCTACGTGACCATTCAGTCTATGTTCTATAAACATGAATGGTAACAGTAATTAGATAGATAATAGTATTTGATAGATAATCTCAATAAATTTAAACGGATTATTTAATGTATGAGTAGTTGACGGCTCATCGCCTCACGTGCACCATTCACGTGACCGCTGGAGTGTCATAGTTCGAGTCCTGTTGGAGTGGACATAGCGGTAAGCGGCTTTTTGTACGTAATTGACATGTTATACTCCTATTATTATCGTAATACCACATCAGTTAGTGATTGAGCTTGTCGCATCTAGTTGCATTATGCACGGACATGCTCTTTCTCTTTCCTCGCTCTCGCTCTTTCTCTCTCTCTTTCTCTCTCTCTCTCTCTCTCTCTCTCTCTCTCTCTCTCTCTCTCTCTTCTCTCTCTCTCTCTCTTCTCTCTTTCTCCTCTCTCTCTACTCTCTCGGTTCTCTCCGTTCGCTCTTTCTCGCTCTGCCTCTCGCTCGTCTTTCTCGCTCTCTCCTCGCTCTCTTTCGTCGCGCTCTCTCCTCTGGGCTCTCTGCTCATCCTCTCTCCCTACCTCTCTCCTCTCTCTACGGTCTCTCGGTCTCTCTCGTCGTACGTCTCTCTCTCTCTCTACGTCTCTCATCTCTTTAGCGCTAGGGGACGTCTCTCTCTCTACGTCTTCTCCTCTCTCTTCTACGTCTCTCTCTCTCTTACGCTCTCTCTCTACGTCTCTTTCTCTCTCTCTACGATCTCTCACTGCTGTCCTCTCTACCTCTCTCTCTCTCTGCTCCTCTCTCTGCTCTCTCCTCTCTCGTCTGCTCTCCTCTCTCTGCTCTCTCCCTCTCTCTCTCTCGCTCCCTCTCTCTCTCTCTCTCTCCTCTCTCTCTCTCTCCTCTACCGTCT